TAAGGCTTTTCTAACGTGACGAAACGAGAGGCTAGCTTCACCGCGGAGTGTTCCGTACCTCTGAAAATCAAATTGGTCTATGAAAAACGGTTACGGTCGTGTAAAAGACAGGACACTGCGCGAAACGGTGGATGTGCACGCAAGAGGGAACGGCTTGCCGGCTCGGCCAGTCTACTGGAAGATTCCATTGTGAGTGGGCTTTCAAAAAGTTTTATCTCCGAAAAGCAAGTGTTTTCGCGCGTTCTGTGGTTCGCCCGTCGATGAAACCTGTCCACCAAGGTATTTCAATGTTTTCGCTATCAGCGAGGCTAAACCGCGATGACAATTAATCGTTCCCGGCGAAACACAGCCTATTGGAAAAGTTGAGGTTACAGCGGCCGTTGGGTTCAGCTGGCCTCTCAGCTGATGAACGAACGCACCAACCGGTTTACGGTGTTTCTTTCAAAAACGCTCTTCCTATTCTTCTGCCTCTTCTTCTCGTTTCGATTCCTGCCATCCGATTCCCTCGCGGTTCGTGGTACTTAGCCGCTGCAAATACGGTGCAGTTTACTTATGACACAGAGCGGTGATTCCTTCTTCTATACGAGTAACCTCTTTCGCCTAAATCGTGACATTTCGTGAGTGTCTTTCGTTTCTACGCTATGTTACAAGTGTCCTCGCAGTGTACCTATTTCCCAGTGACATTCGCAGAAGCTACAATCATTTTTCAAAAAGAAAAAAGAAACAAAAAAATTCAAAATTGATTCGAACATTGATTGACCTCTCGTCTATTCGATTCAATTATCATCGATTATTTTCGATTCAAGTGTCGAATTGAAATCGAAAAGTGACAGACGATGTCCCCGCGAACGAGATGTCGATCAGACTGTCCGGATCATCTGACGGTACCAGTGTTTCTCAGTGATCCGTGTTGTCTTTTAAGTACCTGACATGTTCATAAAGAATACTAAATAAAATCCTCGCGATCAACGATTCCGGTATGTATCATCCATATATTTGTAGTCTCTGACAAATCGATTTTCGTTTGATCTATGATCGTCGCGACACGATCACCGGTAGGATCAGAGCTCTGGTAACAACGCGAACCATATAGACGGATTGCACCGAGCAGTTGGTCGCGATTCCGGACACCGTTCTGTCCCAACCCGTCCCGTCCCGTCCCGTCCCGTTCCGTTCGATTCTAATCCCGTCGAATCGAACGCGCGGATCGAAGCGTGTACGACCGGCAGTACACGCTCGGAACGTTCGCTGAAGGAAAAGCGTGTTCCTGGCGCGATGGTAAAGGCGAATGTCGTTGAACTGTCAGTCGACCGGAGTGTACTTTCGATCACTCGTAGGCGACCGATGACCGCGTTTACGGAGCGTGTTGCCGGGTCAAAGGAAACCTCGTGTGTCACTGGCATTTAAAAATCCTCGAACTCCTTGCCATGAGAACTGGAGGGGGAACTGGGATAAATAAGATGGAGGAAGAGATAGAGGAGTAGGACCAGAGAAAAGTTGCATACCCGCGCGTGAGATAGCACGAGCGAACAGCATCGCGAAAACGTGTTTAAATCACGGACAAGAGAAGGACGCGTATGCTGCGTGACACCGTTATTGCTTGCAAATTCACTTGGTTTTCCGTGAAACCACGTCCGAGGTCAGCGCGCCCGGTTGCAGCTGAGCACCCAGCTGACGAACGGACTCTGTGACCGGTTCGCCATGTTCCTTCCTTCTTCATTCTCCTCTTCTTCGTCGTCTTCGTCATTCTCCTCTTCTTCTTCGTCGTCTTCGCCATCGTTGTCTTCTCTCTTTATCGCCATCATCGTCTTCTTCTTTTTCTTCTTTTTCTTCTTCTCCTTCTTCTCCTTCTTCTTTTTCTTCTGCTTGTTCTTCTCCTCTTTTTTTTCTTAAAAGGCCATACCACCTCCTTCTTTTTCCCTTTAAATCGCCTTTCACGTGCTTCACCGGGCCCTCTTGCTGTCTTCTTCTCCCCACCCCCGTGTACGAGCCGCGGTGTGCCGCTCCATTCCCGCGTCTCCTTTGCCTCCGCCTACTTCTACACTGTTTCCTCCTAGAATATAGTATTGTTCGTGGTTGCACGTAGCGAGCTCGCGCGCGCCGTCGCGGCCGAGAACGCTCGCTCGACTTCACCGAACTAGTTCCCCCCGTGACGTTTCTTTGTGCGTCTCTCCTGCGGCGCGTTCAACCCGCGTTTAGAGATCGCGGCCTGTCTCAAGGTGATGCACACACGCGCAACGGGAGTGCAACGGGCGCGCGCGACATTTTTCAGGGTACACCGCTTGGCCACTATTACCCCACCGCCACCCCCTTCGACCGACAAACCGACAAACCGACCGACCGACCGCCACCCTACGCTTGAAACCGTTCCACCTCGCGGATGCACGTCGCCCCCAGTTAACTCCCGGTCGACGCCTTTTTCGTGGACCCTTGATCTTGTTCCGGTGAATTACTGTTTCTGCACCGCGTGGCTCGGGGACTTTGGCGGCAATACTCGGAATTTAGGATGTTTAACACGTTGGCCTCTGGCTGGTTTTCGTATTATCCGTAAGAATAGGATGGAATTTATGGAATTATTGAATTTTGTATTTTGTGTACTTTTCTCGTTGTTATTCAGTTATTTGCGTTTGAATGTTTATTACTTTTTATTGTGGTTGCGGGTTCAGCAGCGTGTAATTGTTAATGTAAGGATTTGCTGGAGAATTGTTTTCGCGAGACTGTATACTTTGACATCTAAGGTAGAATTTATTGCAGGACTTACTTGGGGAATTTTAATTTATCTCTTATTAATTTATCTCTATTTAGAGATAATAACTGTCGAGATAATGAAGATAAATAATGCAACACGGGGCAGCTATTTATAAAAAAGAAATATAAAAGGAATGTGTCGTGTTGGGAGAGGATTACTTAAAAGTGACGATTATAGAGATTGATGTGATAGCAAACTGTTGTGGAAACCGTACCAATTTACTTGCTTACCTAAGTGTCCAAATATTACAGTTTATTTGAATCGGCTGATCTAATTAATTACGGCGTCGACCACCGGTGGCTGACACAGCAGTCAACATGTTTAACCTTTGCACTCTGATTCTAATTGTTTTAGAATTGCTTTTGGAATTGAAGTCTGTGTAACGATAGATTTTATACGTTAAGTTGGATGTTACTTCTGCTGGCGAGATTTTGTTTAACTCTCGTGTATTTTTCAGTTAATTTCTGTATTGGTACTTCATAAATTAAGTTAGAGGAAAATCGATGTCAAATTTATGAAAGAAAATTTCTTGTAAATAAGTTATAATACATATATAAATTATAATACTAATTTTACTATATTTTACAACATTTTACAACCAATTGACAAATTTTACAATTAATTGACAAATCTCTGTAATAAAGTTTGTATTCAGTATAAACTAATGTTCTATTTTATTATAGATCCCATTGGCCTGAACAGTGCATAAAAATTAATGAATGTACAAAAATAGTCAGAGTGCGAATGGTTAAGATTAAAAAGATTAAAATACCTAATAAAATCATAATTTTAATAATATTATCTTCGTATTTCTTTACACCGATAGAATCTCATTGTAACAATTAGAATTCAGCGTTCTAGCTCAAGCAGTCCCAAGGACATTTTACATCGATGTTTGAATTCGTATTGAGTTTCTAAGCACGTCCAATTGGAGAGACTAAACTTCCTTTTAATTGTGTTCTACATTGTTGGGGTACGGTGGTGATAGTACGAACAATACAGTGATAAATAAGCTACACGTGGTTGATCTAGGCGCAATCGAGAGGATATTCTCATTGAGAAGCGGAACGAAAAATCTGTCTTAGAAAACTACAAAGGTACTGGTATCAAATCTACAAAAACATATTTAATTTATTGCCCTTTCAAATATCTAATCAACGTTGTAATTGGTTTTGAGGATAATAACCACTCTATGGGAAACATTGCATCTAGAAAATTGACTTTAACAAATTAACCAGCCAATTCTCGTAGGAGTATAATCAACGAGGAATAAAGACGATTTGCTTTGATTAATCTTGTAGGAATGTATAAAATGTATAAAACTTTGAATTCTTACTAATACAAACCTTTCATAAGCATAAAATTCTGGAATCTAGTAGACTAAACAAAAAAATGAACAAAACCATTGAAGTATACACCGACAACGAATCAACTAATCTTCTCTTTAGCTATCCAACGTTCTCTTTCCGCAGTAGATACCTGTGTTTTCTTGATCTCGATCGATTTCAATATTCTCCCAATTTTTCTCGTCCAATTTCCCAAAGACGGCTCTAATAAAATTGTCCGAGGACGTCGATTCGTCTGGTCTCCTAGCGAGAATACCCTTTTAAAGTTAGTTTTCCCCGTGAAACTCGGTGCCACGGGTCGCCGTGAATAATTCGCGTACGTTCGGGAAAGTTTCACGCGAAGTCGACAATAGGCAGGGGCCCGCGGATGAAATGCAAAAGTTCCATAGTTATTGCAGTTTGCAAAACGGTCGGTCGGCCACGCGATGTCTAAGGGGGCCTATAGTTCAGACGCTGTGCCCGTGGCCGCATATAATATGTATCGCTATTTACAAGCAATCGGGCCTCGCGTGCTAGCTCGACTCGGCGTGAGTCACCTGGCTTCAGACTCCGCTCCGCTACTTCTTATTTGTGCTCGATTGGCTAATGAAATAAGAGAGCCACGCTGCTACCGTTGCTACTGTTCCTTCTTTTCGTTTTATCCTCTCTTTCTCCTTCTTATTCTTCTTTCTTTTTCTTTCTTTCTTTCTGTCCCTTTCTGTTTCTCTTTTTATCCCCACCGTCGACGAATCTTGCTAGCCGTAATAAAATTCTCATTTATATAGCGTGTTGTTGCGACCACGACCGCGCGGAATTGAGTCGTGCGAAGGATACCGTTTAAAACCAATTCAACAACCGGCCGGTTAATTGCAAACATTGTACCACACGGCGGAGCGTTCCCTATAGAACAGAATGACGGTAATCGGCTATTCGTAACGTGAACACGCTGGGCTCGTTCGTGCATCAGGGGTACCGGGGGATATTAGGTTTGTTGCCAGTAGATTTTTCCTTTGTCGCACCGGCCATTTGGTTAGCGAGCTTAGGATTCATGCTGGACTGTTTGACGTATCAGCGGGTTCAACAATTTTAAATGACAGGGTTTCGAGAACAATACTGTTCAGTTGATTCACAAATTTGACAATTTTAGGGAAGAAGATTTTTTAGAGTAACCTTATTGTGAGTGGATTTTGCTTATCCTACATCAG